AATCCAAAGGGATTTCTAATCTTCCTTTCATGGGTATCATTCAATATTCATATCCAGTTATTACTTATCATAACACTACACATTGTATACATTATTATCATTATCAATTATTTATTTAGTTATATCTATTATTACTAAGTTTCACTAAGTTTAACTCTGCTAATTTCTTTTTAACTGCCTGGGTTTCTTGATTTCCCCGTTTGACAATCACGGTTTAATAAGATACATGCTTTTTCTTTTTCATTATTATGATATAAAATACAAAATAAAAGGAAAAGAGAATGGGAAATTAAGGGAAGGGAAGGGAATGGGGAAAAGGGGGTGTGAAATTCAAGAGGGAAGAGAGAAAGAAAGAAAAGGGGGCATTGATTTCCAACCCTTCCTAGCTCAGTACAAGATAAACACACTCCAGGCTCAACTTTTTGCTTTTCCACATTTAATACATAACTAGCCATTTCTATAACATCAAATTTTCTAGCCGACAAAATCAAGATCAGTTTCCTTTTTTTCTTCTTCACAAGCACAAGTTCCAGAAGTGATGTCCAAATACAAACATATTTTCCTCTTTAAATAAAGTAATCCATGTAAGCATTCCTACTTCATCTGCCTTGCTATATAAATGGTATGTATTTCCATTTGCACCTAGAGATCTTTGTGAACCGTCGCCATTTTTATTTCCAAAATTTATTGCATTCTTTCACATTTTTTGATCTTACTGAAGAAGGAAAAATACCTTCAGTAAGATCTATGCTTTTTTCTGACTGCAAGGATAGCTTTGGCTCAGCACTGAAAAAGGGACAGTTTTGCCAAGACTGGGAAACTGGAATTTTGGGTAAATATATAATAGCAATGGCAAAATTAACAGAATTCATCCTGTTGATATACCTGGGGTGGGTTTTTTTTTTTGAACCTTCTGCATTGTGTGCAATTTTCCAACCGTCATTGTTTTACAATCTGAGAAGGTCATCCTCGATTACAAATGCAAAAAAGCCGTGGCTTTCTTTTCTTGCTACAGTTAATCCTCAACATGCAACCGTTTGTTTAGTGACTGTCCAAAGTTACAACAGCACTTAAAAAAAGGGACTTGCTTCCGTGTTCCTTATCACCGCGCAGCAGCCTCTTAGTGGCCTGACAGTCTCTTTTGTTCTTTCAAAGGGTGACACCCTCATCCTGCCTCTCTGGCAGATAATAACTTTAACACATTAGCAGAGTTGGAAGGGACCTTGTGGATCATCTAGTCGAGCCCCCTGCCCAAGCAGGAGACCCTACACCATTTCTGACAGATGGCAGTTCAGTCTCTTCTTGAAAGCTTCCAGGGATGAAGCTCCCACAACTTCTAAACGTTCCATGGGTTGATTGCTCTCGCTGTCAAAAAATTTCTCCTTATTTCCAGGTTGAATCTCTCGATTCCATCAGTTTCCCTCCATCATTCCTTGTCTGGCCTTCAGATGCTTTGAAAATAGCCTGATGCCCTCCTCTCTGTGGCAGCCCCTCAAATATTGAAAAATGCTCTCCTGTCTCCCTGGTCCTTCTCTTCCCTAGACTAGCCATGCCCAGTTCCCGCAACTGTTCATCGTATGTTTCAGCCTCCACTCCCCTCATCATCCTGGTTGCTCTTCTCTGCACTCTTTCTAGAGTCTCAGTATCCTTTACAGACTAACAGAGTTGGAAGGGACCTTGTGGGTCATCTACTCCAACACACACACACCCGCCCAAGCTGGAAACCCTCCACCATTTCTGACAGATGACAGTCCAGTCTCTTCTTGAAAGCCTTCAGTGTCGAAACTCCCACAACTTCTGAACATTCTGTGGGTTGATTGTTCTCACTGTCAGAAAATGTCTCCTTATTTCCAGGTGGAATCTCTCCTTGATCAATTTCCATCCATTGTTCCTTGTCTGGCCTTCGGGTACCGACCCCCTCCTCTCTGTGGCAGCCCCTCAAATATTGGAAGGCTGCTCTCCTGTCTCCCCTTGTCCTTCTCTTCCCTAGACTAGCCATGCCCAGTTCCTACAACCGTTCTTCATATGTTTTGAACTCAAAGGGATTCTCGTTTTTATGCAGGTCACGATGACTCAGACATGGAGATCCATGAGGACGAAGGATCGGACAGTGACCTGGAAGACCGGCAGCTGATCAAGCAACACACAGCCATGGAGATGCTGATGCACGGTGGGTCCATCTGTTCCTCTGTCCCCTTCCCAAACGGCTTTCAAAAAATGGTTTTGAACAGATAAAGCAATGTCAGTTTGTACCAGCGTAAAAAAAAGAAAGGGTTTCCAGATTTAAAATGCTAAAGAGTGCCTTATTCCAGAGGTGATTTTAGACACAGCTGGCCTTTCTCCAAATTCCAGATGAAATCCAAAAGGAAGAGAATTTACAGGGATTAAAAATGTGTGCTTTGCTGTCACCCTTTTGAGAACGAGCCAGGAAAACAAACTCTACAAGAAATACGATAAAACTCTTTATTTATTATTATAGAGGCTACATTGACCGTATTTTGGAAAGCCTGACAGTTTCTTGTTTCAATAGAAGAGAATATTTGTTGCTCAGGGTTGAACTGTGGTGTCCTTGGTGCTCTCTGAGCTGGGTTGTTTTCATGAGGACGTTTCATTACCCAGCTACGTAATATCATCAGTGTTAGAAAGCTATGGGAGTTTCCTCTCTGTTAATATACAAGTTTGGTGCATTCCCTTCCTGCATGGATGATGTTACCTAGTTGGGTAATGACACGCCTGCGAGTAAACAACCGAGCTCAGAGAACATCAAGGGCTGCACAGTTTCTTTTTCTCTTAGGTCAAGAAGAGTTAAGCCAAGATATTCTTGAGCATCTTTCTCACCCCAAAGCTGGTGTGTGTGTGTGTGTGTGTGTGTGTGTGTGTGTGTGTGTGTGTGTGTGTGTGTGTG